TTTTTTATTTTAAATTTGCTGTATACAGAATAAGATTAGTTACAGATTGTAAGATGATATTAATTTAAACTATCTATTATATCTTGTATAACTACCTAAGTATAGCAAATCATCTTTTAATTTTCTATTTAAAAACAAATTTAAGTTAAACTACTATTAGTTATAGGAGGGGAAAGAGAAGGCCCAGAAATAGGTATAGAGTTAATATAAATATAAATAAATAGAGAAGTTTTGTAAGTGCTATTTTTGAATAAATGAATCAATATTATAATTATAAGTTGTTGTTGTAGAATTTTTAGTAGTAATATTGGATAAGGAGAATTTAATATGTTTAAATTTAGATGTAATATTTCTTGAGATTTCCCAGTCATATTGAAATTGGTTTCTAATTTGCCAGATATTTGAGTTGAACCAAATAAAAAGATTATTAGATAAGTTGAAGCAAAAGGTGATAGTATTCTTATTGAGAATTGGTTGTAGTTAGTCTAAAACATTGTAAGAGATAGTTCCTTGAATAAGAAAGAGAATGTTTTGAGAAGGAATATTTTAAGTATTTGTATTGAGTAATATGTTGGTAATTGTTGAAATATTTGTATTTTCAATTTTGAGTTCTGTTATTGTTTGTGTTATATATTAGTTAAGTATTTGATGAGGATTTAGTGGTGCTTGAGAACAGTTTAGCAAGTGTGAGGTATCTTCATGTTGATTATATCTAATACAATTAGAAGTTAGATAAAGGTGAGGATAATGAAGGTAAAGATTAGACATTGTAGGTAAATTGTTTAATAATATTTTTATGCATAAAGAGAAGAGATTGAGTTTATAATTGTAGAAGTTTAAAATAGCTATAAAAGTTTTAATGTTAAATTGAGAGATATCACAGATATTTTTAAGTTGAAAAAATTTATTAAAAGTTTTGATAAAAAATAGGTTTTTGATAAATTTGCAAGTTTGTGAAGTGAGTAGAATATAGTATCATGAAAAGAAAGTAAAAGTTAAAAGGTAGTTTAGATTAAATTCAATTGTTGATCTGTTTGCACCTCTTTTAGCAAGAATATCAGTATTTCGATTTAGAGCATTTTTTGAGTATGCTTTAACTTTGTGTACGGTAAAAGATATATTTTTCTTTTGGAGAAGATTGTTAATGATATGTAAATAGTCACAGTTTTCAGTTTTAATTTGTATTTGGTGATAATATGATAGTTTTCTAAGAGTTTGAATTGTTGAAGAGTTGTTGCAATGAATATGAATATGTAGATTTTGTGGTATTGAAAGAAGTATGAAAATAATTGGTGCTAATTCAGCTCTTGTAGTATTAATTTTGGTATTGTTTTCTAAAATCCAACCAATACCAGTTTTGAGATTAGCTGATTGTATATTTTTAATTGAAGCATCAATATAGAAGTGAAGATTTTCTAATAGGCTTAGTGAAATTTGTTAGTAAATATTAATAAGTTCTGTTTAGTATACTGAAGTAGTAATAGAGTTAGTAATTTGTTCAATATTTGAATTTTGTATTTGAATATAAATGTTTTCTAGAGTAGTGGGTTGATATAGAGAAGTGGAGATTTGTACTAGTGATAATATTTTTTAGTAGTCAATAGAAAGTTTGTAGAATTGGTTTTCTTTTTGACTTTTGCAAAGGAAGTTAATAGTAGAAGAAAAAGGAGTTGTAGATATTTGTGAGGAAGGTTGGAGAATAATAGTTCCTAGTGTTTTTTGGAGAATAGAATATTTTTCAAAGAGAAAGTTATTCTGCATAGTAGAAATAATCTTTCCTATTTGAAAATTGGGTATATTAATAAGAATTGTTTAGTTGTTTTTTTTAGAAATTGTAGTTGGTAATAAAATTAATGTAAGAGTATTAATATAGGAATTAATATTTTCTAATTGAATTGATAGCCAAATTGAGGATATAGTATTATTAGTTGTGAGATTTTTTATATATTTATATCATGAGGGAATTGGACTTTGAGGAGATTTGTATATTCTAAGGTAAATATTATTCTAAGGTAAAAGGTATTGATTATTAGATGTAAGAAGTTGTTCAATATAAAGGATATAGTTGTTTTTAAGACTTTGAATAGTTGAAAGCTTAGGATTTGAAGGGATGAAGTTGTAAATTGAATTTAATTTGTAATTATTTAGAGGGTTGTTTGTATTATTAATTAGATTATTAATATTAATATTGTATTGAGCAATGTAGATTAAGAGAAAAAGATTAGTGAAGTTTGACATTTTTTGTTTATGTTGCTGAATTATATCTGTAGAAATTGTTGGTTGCCAGATTTTATAAAGCCATTCTTTAATTCGGAGTTCAAATATTTGTTTTAAAAGAGGAGATGAATTAATAGTTTTTTCGATAATGCTACAACTAGTATAGATAAGAAGTTTGTGAAAGGTTGGAATATTAAGGAGTTGAGGGTTTGTAAGAATGTCATTGTTGGTATTAAGTGAGAATTTAAGAGTTCTTTTTATTTGTTTGGTAATAGAGCTAGAGAGTTGAGTAATTTTTTGATTTGTAAGAGAGGTAACTTGTAGAAGATATTCTAAGAATAGTGCAAGGATAGTATTAAAAAGTCAGAATATTTGGATAGGTAGAAGTTTTTTATATTGTCTGATTTTAATGAAATTATCTGTTTTGTTTAATATTTTATCAATTGTAGGTTGAGTGGAACCTGCGCCATCAAAGTAGATACCAAGATATCTGATGGTATTAGTTGGTTTTTTTGCTTTGATAGTTTCATTATTGAAGATGATTTCAGATGGAGGTTCCTGACTTAAGGTTTTAGAGTGGGGTTTAAGATGAAGGAGGTCAGATTTTGATGGATTGACTTGTATATTATTAATTTTGTAGAGCTGTTCAACATCTTTTAGTAGACATTATAAGTCGTGTTTGGTTTCATAGTGCTATACAGTATCATCCATATATGCGAGTGGTGGAATTATAGTTTGTGTATATTGAATATTATGAACTTGTTCAGTAGGAGATAGTGTTTTAATTTTAAGGAAAGTGTTTTGGTATTTGGTATTGATAAATGATAAAATAGGGTCATAATAAATTTTCTAGAGGAGAGGTGAGTATGTTTCTTCTTGTTCAATCCCTGAATAGATTGTAATTGGGTCTGTTAGTCCATATGCTATAATAATTTGAGCTTTCTGATCATGATGTAAATTTGCAATAAAGTTTATGCCATTTTGAGGTATGCCTATTCTTTTGCAGGCTTGAATAAGTCATTGGATATTGATTTTGTCAAACACTTTAGACATATCTTGAAAGAGTATTCAAGCATCTTTTTGGTTATGTTTGTAATGTTCTATAGTTAGGGATAGGAACGGCTTATAATAAGCCAGCTTAATTACAGCTTTTAAGCTGAGCTGAGCCAAGTTAATAAAGCCAGCTCAAGCTGATCTTATTATTAAATAAATATATTTATATTACTTGTATTATTATAATAGTTTATAAGAATTTTTTATAGTAAATTACTATAGAAATAATATTTATTTTAATACAAAACTAATATAACTATATTAAAATAATTTGTATAATTACTCTTAAGTACCTTAATTAATAAATCAAAAAAGTTATATAAAATATTACATAAATAAAAAATAATTAATCTTTTTTATATATCCCAATATTATTTTCCATCCAACTTTTTAAACAAAGTAATGCACGAGCAATATCAGGATTAAGTCAATTGCGAAGTTTTGAAAGTGTTATTGAGGCAGTAAAAAACACTTCTTCACAAGGAACACTAGATTCTTGAATTGCAAGATAATCTTGTGCTATTCTAGAAAGTGTTAGAAATCTATGTTTATTATCATCCCACCATTGTAAAGAATTATTATTAATAGTTGATATAGATAAATATTTTTCTAACTCCTTTGTTAATAGTAGTGTTTTAATTGTTTGCTGCATTATTAATGATATAAATTTTTTTCGTTTATCATCAAATATTAAGCTAGAAGTATTAGAAGTATCACTTGCTGGTATTGATTTATATTGATCAATTATATTTCACAGACTAGCAAGAATAATATTTTTTTCATCATTAAGCTGAAATGTTAATAGCTTTGATGTTAGGTCAAGAATTGAAGCTATTTTTGTTGTTTCATTAACATCAAGAATAGACCAATATTTATTTAATTTTTTTTTAATTAATTCTGCTATTAAACATTCAGCTTCTAAATGTGAATTATAAGCTTTAAATTGATCAATATGAATAAATAACCCTATAAAAGTTAAACGAACATCAGAAATACTTGGATATAAACTTTTAGAAAGAATTTCTGTTGCATCATGCATTGGTCCTAGCAAATAAATTATATTATTGATAATTTTCCACTCTTTTTCATTAGGGTAAGTATTTTTAAGTTCCTGATATGCAGTTGTAAGAAGATTAAGTTCATCATGCATCTTTTTAAATTGACAAAGCATATGATAAGTACTATTCCAATGTGTAACTATATCAGCAATTAATTTGCTATATGGTTTTTGTTTATTCTACAAAAGTTTTAAAGTTTGTCATATAAGACTGTTGATTTTTGAACCTTATTTACAAACTGCCGAACCTTGCCAATTACTCTATGTTGAAGTTCTATACCACTTTTTACAGCAATATTAAGTATATGAGCTGCACAACGATGATGACTAAATCTGAACTCATGCTGTTTTTGTTTTATTAGATTTCTACATAAAACCATTGCAGATGTATTATCTGTTGTTAGTGAGATTATCTTGTTATTAATACCCATCTCTTCACAAATATTATTAAGCTTTTCTTTTATATATATTGCAGTATGATGATATTCAAAGGGAATAAGATCAAGTAAAAAATGACACATTTTCCATTTGTTATCAATATAATGTATAGTAATACCCAGATAAGCTTGATTTGATATTGATGTCCAAATATCAGTAGTAAGTGCAACTTTGACATTAAGAGCTTTAAGTTCTTGTGCAACAAGTATACGACATGATTCAAATTGAGATAATGTCATTTTTTTATATATTTACTTGAAGGTAACTGATATCTTGAATCATATATATTTACTGAATTATGAAACCAAGGGTTTTCAACAAATGAAAATGGAAGTTGTGCACCAATTATAAGATCGAATATAGCTTTAAAACATTGCTTTTTCCATTGAGTATCATTTCTACCATAGGGTCTTTGAAGTAAAGATAGCTGATTAGTTTTTAAAATAAGTATAATATCATGTTTATTTTTAAGATGAGTATTAAGAACACTAGTGGCTATTGTTGAACTATATCTTTGTCTGCATTTTTTACATATTCTTGCAACAATTTTGCCTTCAACATTGTCTTCATCAAAGTAATCCCATACAGGTGATTTTCTAATAAGTCTATTATTATTTGTAACAATATTAGTGACCTCATTTTCTACACCTTCCATATTTTCTACATTATCTGTATTATCTATATCATTATTATCTATACTAATTGCCTCATCTATATCTTCCATTTCTTCATCTATATTATTTATATCTTTTGAATCTTTTATATCTTCTATATTATTGAAAATATCAAGTTTTATTTTCTTCATAAGCACTATAATCAAATTCATCGGCATTGAACATTCTTAAAATTATTTTTTAATTATTATTATATAGTTTTTAGTAAGGTTCTATATTTAGTAAAAGGTATATTAATTGATAGCAAACCTTGTAAAAAAGTAGAAAATAACAATTAAGTTAGTGAAATGAAAGATAAAACAACTACTCTAGGATTTCTAATAAAATTTTTTGATCATGTAATAATTTAAAAAAGATTAAACAATAAAAAATCTTGATTTGGTATATTGTTATATGATCAAAAAATTTTAAAACAAATATCACAATCTTTTATATATTAACAAAAAATTTTTCAAGTAATTTTACTATTATATTTTGCCTTGTAGAATATTTCTGATTAACTGTATCCTTGATTTATATTAGATATGTTACTAGGTTTAAAACCTGTATTTTTAGTATAAGACTCAGTATAATAAACAGAGATTTTTATATATGTAATATATAAAAACATATTGTTTTTATAATATAATTCTTACACAAAACCTCTATATAGTATACTTTCTGCTATACAGTATATCCAGAAGCATAAATCAAGAAAAATTGGTTTAGATAGTAAGAGATTCTGGGTACTTCCTATACCAAAATATACCATATTCTCTTTAATATTTAACCTTAATTTAAACACTTACTCTAACATAAACAAATTTAACCAATTTTATCAATTATCACATAATCAAAAAATTGTTGATAATACTGGAAAGAGTCTGGTCAATTGTGTTATTACATGATATGTTCATTTCATCTATCTTACCCAGGATTACAACACAATTCTGCAGTCATGTGATTATTGATAAAATCCTTTAAAGCTTATGTAGATTTGGGTTAGGTCTGTTTTAGAATTAGAGCTTAGTAGTTTTAATAGTAAAATCATCCAAAGAAATTTTTTTGTTAATGCATAGAAGGCGGTTACCTATGCAGAATTTTAAGTTATAGGCAATGTTTGACAAAATGAACATTTTCTTGATTGTACAATATTATACCTGATTCTGTAATCTGATTTGTCTAAAATCACGTCTGAAAATTTTTGTACTATAGTCAGAATTATCGTGTTGAGTAGCATACCATGATCGTCAATTATGATGATTAAATTAGTAAAATTTAAGTTTGTTTAAATGCAATGTAGAGTATAACGATAAGTGTATAATATATATATTTAATATTATACAAAGTAGTATATATAACGAAATTAGTAGAAATAGAGAAATAAAAAAAATAATAGTTTTTGACTGAAAAAAATAATGATAACAAAATACAATGTGTTATACTTGCCTGTTAAAGTATTGGTGTGGAAGTGACTAAGAGCTAAGCAAGAACTTGAATTACAATATATCATTTAAGAGAGATAACTTGGTTACTATTTAACTCAAATATTTATTGTTTTTTTTTTGCTTTTTGATTATATTTATTTATTTTATTTTATTTTTTTTTAAATTTTATTTAATAAGAGTTTTTATA